GCTCATGTTCCTCGAACAAGACTCACCCGCGTTTCGAAACCATCCCTCCCGAGTTTATGAAGTTTGTCAAACCAACCGTCGTGGTGTTGATACGTTGTAAGGGAGAACTATTACACAGAATTGAAGAAAACATGACTAGAGAACCATAGCCTTTTGAAACAAGCCAAACAATTCAACGTCACAATGGATGGGCAGTTTTAAGGGGGCAGTCTCGTCCCTGTACCCTTTTTTAGGGGGGTTTTCCCCCCCTCTTTTGATGACGATGATTTTTTAAATATACCTCTTAGAGACAAACGGTAAAAACCAAATGAAAGAACGGAATTTTTACAACATTTTCAAAAAAAAAATATTTTGTTTTGTCTTCAGTTGTAAGGGAGTTATAGGGAATGCAACAAAAGCCGACAAAACATACAAAATTTCACTGCGCGACAATTTTCTCCGGAAGTTCTTAACTTTTTGGCAATCGGTTTGCGGCATCTTGAAGATGAAAAAATCCTCTTTACTTTAACCTACAATCGTCCATATAGCCCAAGGATTACACTTTTTAAAACGTAACCAAAAACCTATACAAACTTAGGAACGGTTTTAATTTAGGTTTCCCTTGGGCTACATGGACGATTGTAGGTTAAAGTAAAGAGGATTTTTTCATCTTCAAGATGCCGCAAACCGATTGCCAAAAAGTTAAGAACTTCCGGAGAAAATTGTCGCGCAGTGAAATTTTGTATGTTTTGTCGGCTTTTGTTGCATTCCCTATAACTCCCTTCTGAAGACAAAACAAAATATTTTTTTTGAAAATGTTGTAAAAATTCCGTTCTTTCAATTGGTTTTTACCGTTTGTCTCTAAGAGGTATATTTAAAAAATCATCGTCATCAAAAGAGGGGGGAAAAAAACCCCTAAAAAAGGGTACAGGGACGAGACTGCCCCCTTAATGCGCGACTGCTGGTGCTTTCAGCTTCGCGATTTTCGCAAGGGCGCAGACGCCGAGAAACTAGTTGCCAACCCGTGAAAATTAATTTACTGCCTTCTTTCTGCCAAGAACATTTTAATAATGATGGACTTTAAAGATGTTCCATTGTCAGAACACTGCGGAATACATTAGCATTGGAATTTTTTGAATTTACCAGCATTTTGATTTATATATTTGTCAAGTTTAAATTTCGACGGGTGGCACATCGACCACATTGGTACCACTGCCATTGGTAGTCCCCTGAGCCACAACTTCACAACACCACTTCTTTTCTTCCTCCACACTCTTACACGATAATCAAATTGACTTCGTGACTCCTAGGATTTCTTGAAATCGTTTTTTTTTTTTTTGAAAAATGTGTTGTTCTCAGTAAACAAATAATTAAGAAATTAAGAAGTGAAAACTAAAAAAAACGCAGTTAAACTACAGTTTGAGTATGCAGTATGTGGTGGTTGGTGGTAATGGTGGTCCGTTGTTTAAAACAGTTGATTCAGTTAATTCTTGGGGGCCCAAGTCCTAAATGCCTTTAGGACTCCAGAGCACACCAGAAGTATTTATCCAAGTTTATCCCCCAAGATTTTTTTCATACATTTTATACTTTTCTATTAAAGTTCATTTATTGTATGAAAGATGCATGAAGCTAAGATATTATCTTAAATTAAATTAAGCTGATTTTGCACAATGAATGTGCGCATTCTCCTGTGCTTGTAAAATGCAGCATTACGCTTGAAATTGAGTGTACTGACTTCACGCTTGAAGCAGGGGGTCAGAATTCCTGGTGTGGCTTGATTACGCTTGGCTTCAAACATAGCTCTCTTTATGCTCGAAGTCAAGTGCAGGAGTACACTTGAAGATTTTACGCTTGAGGACAGGCATAATACAACGCCTTAGTTGTACCAGTACAGACCTTTTACAAACAATGCAGACACTGTAGAATCAACTGTTTGAAACAACGGACCACCATTACCACCAATACCACTGACCACCATGTGCTTTATGGGCTTAGGCTTAAATGGAGAGCAAAATACCTAAAATAAGGAGTTATCAACATTTTGAGCACCAATGGGATGGATCCTTGAGGTGTTTACTCTGCCTTGACTTCAAGATGTATTATTAGTAACTTTTTGACCTTTGAAAATTGATTTTAGAGTCAATGCGCTTTGTCGTCATAAGTTGCCACATGAAATATTTTGTAGTTTTAAGCGGTCACTAAAAGTTAATCTTAGGACAAAGTATCGTCAAAATTCTCGAACCACGTAAAAGTTTCATGCTCATTTTTCACTTTTTTTTCAAAGATTTTCCTATATAAAAAATGGAATTTTTTTTCAGGACCCCTCTATGCTAGTTGAAATGGAAATAGAAGCCAAAGGGGTCTCACATCTCTGCAAATGCTAAGGCGATACTTAAGTACATTTTTTGGCGATACAATTGAGTATCGCCAATAAACGGCCTTACGGAAAAGTATTGCCTTCAGAACGGCGATACACAAAAGTATTGCCAAAATTTGGCATTACTTTTCGATGGGCCCTATGAACAAAGACCGATGTCCTTTGGGTCGCTCGAACAAAGACCGATCTCCATTTCCTAACCTCTCAACGCGTTCATTTTGAAGTCCCAGAACAATCTGTACGTTTTGATTCCACACTAATGAGTTTTAGATAATCATTCTATGTTCGGAACAAAACCTTCTAACTATTGTTTGAGTTGGATGTCTGTTGCGAGAACAACAAGATAAAGAAGCGGCGAATGCAGAAACGGCCGAAATGGAGATCGGTCTTTGTTCGAGCGACCCAAAGGAGATCGGTCTTTGTTCGAGCGACCCAAAAGACATCGGTCTTTGTTCATAGGACCCATCGTTTCGGATATTGCCAAAACCACGGCATTAAACCAATGACTTGTCCCCCTTGATTTGATTGACGTTTATTGCCAAATCGTGGCAATACTCCAAAGTATCGCCAAATTTTGGCGATACTTTTGTGTATCGCCGTTTTGAAGGCAATACTTTTCCGTAAGGCCGTTTATTGGCGATACTCAACTGTATCGCCAAAAAAGGTACTAAAAGTATTGCCTTTGGATTTACAGTGATCACACACAATCATATGACCAAGTCACTGAATCGTCTCATTGAATCAGATGTCAATGTCAATCCTTCTATGCGCTACACTCACTCACCATATAGTTATCTTTAAGGTTAGTACTATAGTAAACTCACAGCATTGCAATGAAGCCTTTTCCCAGAGTCAGTGCCAAGAGTCAGCAAAGACTTTTTATTTTGGCAAGATTAGTGTCTGGTTTGTACTTTTGGATTGTATTAATCTATTTTCTAACTGTTATTGAGCAAAGCAAACAACTCAAAAGTATCATGTCTGAGAATAAAAATGGAAATACACTCTCAAAGCTTACAAAGACCAAATCATTCTTGCAATTATCAAACACACACACACTCCACTGACTAAAACATTTCCCCTGTAGCAGGGGAGGGGAGGGGGCGGACGGACGAAACGCGTAATAATTGTCACTTTCATTTTCCGTATTTCACTGTGTTGACACTCCGGAGGGGTTTCAATCATTCTAGAATGTTGAAACACTAAGGTCGATCTCATTTCCAAACCGTTTGCTATTTATTTTGTTTTATTTGTTGATTTGCTTGTGTCCCGTATTTGAGAGCCGCGGCCGCAGGTATAGCTATATCAAGTTAAGGAAAGAGAGGGTTTTGAGCCAGCGCTGGCGCTGGCGCTGGAAGGTGAGGGGCAGGGAGGCGGTCGCGCTCAAGCTGGCTTAAGCCAGACGCAGCGATACCCCTCCCTGCCCCTCACCTTCCAGCGCCAGCGCCAGCGCTGGCTCAAAACCTTCTCCTTTCTTAACTTGATATAGCTTATGAGAAATTGGTAACTAACTGCTGCCAACCTAACCATGCTAATAAACTGATTCAAAAAGATGTTTTGAATATTTCAAACGATACTAAACAACGATTTGAAACAAACTCGTGTTGGGCGGAAGTAAGACGACGCTAAATGCGAAGTAAGGAAACTATACCTGTTGTAGTCGCTGAGAAACGTGAGCGTGTACGAACAGAGGGACAGACAGACGCATGACCAGTCACTTTTGGAGCGCCCAAACACGGCAAGGGCTCGCTACCGCTCGCCAATCAGGTACGCCATCATCAATTGATCCAGGAAGCGGAAGAAGGGAATAACTTGACTTATCCCCAAATTGAGTTTTTATTTTATTATTGTGCCTTAGAATGGTTTACATCATTACACCAAATTATTTGACTGAATTCCAAGCAGTTTAGGAGAAAATCCACATGGAAAAAGGGTATAACTCTACTTAACCCCTTTTACGGTCTAAATTTCATTGGAAAATGGAGATAACTCAACCTTAGTCTACATGAGTCCATTTGACAAATTGGCAAAAGGATATAACTCAACTTGTGTTTTTATGGATCTAGTGTAAAAAGAATCAACTCAACTTAACCCCCCCTTAATTTTAAATTTCAATTTGGAAAAAAGAGCTAAGTCCAAAAAATACACCAGAGTAACATACACTTTATGCAGACTATTGTTCCACTTGACTTGTCTCTAAATTCCTCTTTGTTTAGGAAATATAAGGTGAGCTGACTCTGCTTTCCATTTCAACGGAAAGTGATAAGTCGCAGAAATCCTCTACGGAGTGACCTTACACTTTTGATTTTTTTTTCCAAAATTTTACTGATGCTTTTTAAATTATTAACTTCTGCAACATTCATTTGTTTTGTTTTAGTTTTCCCTGCTAACAGTTTTTTGTTTCTCCTGAAAAATGGTCAAAATTGAGTTATCCCCTTCTTCCGCTTCCTGGATCAATTTTAATTCAAATTATGCAAGAAATGCAACAAAAGTACCTAAAAAGCGTTTTGATCGCAAAGCGTGACAAATATTTTTTACAATATTTTGTTATGAACTCGGTATACGTGTTGCAGCCAGGGGGGCTGTATAGTTGGCGGAGCGAAATCAGTTCCATCCCAAGAAGAATGTGAAGTACCTCGAAATGAAGCACAATAGCCTTGTCTCCTGCGAGTGCCTACACTGCGCAAAGGTCGACCCTGCTGTGCTGATGATGCCCAGATAGCACCCGTATAAGTAGCGGTACTCTGGGGATGCTCGGCACCAGTCTCGCATTGAGACTGCTCAGAGGAAGACTCCTGTCACGTAAGTCATCTATGAAAATCGATAAAGCAACTTGCAACAACAGGCAGCATAAAAAATTTGAACAGTTTCACTGAAAATCTATCGGCGTGACTTCGTGCCGCTGCAGGGGCGTGAATTAAGTGTCACGCCATTAAACGGCATGACAGAAAAGTCACGCCAAAAATCGGTGTGACTGAAAAATTCACGCCAATTTTTGGCGTGAATTTCTTGTCATGCCGCTTATTGGCGTGACTTGTCTCATAAAGCGCGTTGTCATTCACGCCAAATGAGGGCGTGACTCACATGTCACGCCGGTTTTCAGCGTGAATTTCGTGTCACGCCAATTTTTGGCGTGACATTTTGTCACGCCATAATTTGGCCATGTGTCCGACCATTACGGTTTTAGTGCCAAATTTAGGTGAGGAAAGTTTCCTCACCCAAATTTGGGTAATAATACTACGGAGCTATATAGAGAGCTGATACACCCTTCCTAACCCAAAATTGGGCGAGGAAGCTTTCCTTGCCCAGATTGGGCGAGGAAACCTTCCTCGCCCAAATTTGGGTGGGAAAGTAAGGGAGGGTGGGGCACCATGACCACTGGAGTACCATGACCACCCCCCTCGCTCTCGGGAACTACTCAGCCGACGGCAACCGGTCGACCGGACTTTCGAGAGAATCGGATTCTTACTATTTTTAGCCAGAGCCCTACCTTCTAGCTTCAAGGGTGCAACCATGGCACCTCGCCAAAATTTTCGTTACAGTGTTTTGGCTAAATTGGGCATAATTCAAATTTGGGGTATTTTTTCTCACTGTCACATTTGAGGAGATAGGTTCGATGTCTTAGGTTTTTCTCAAAGTGTCGGCTCTCCGGCAAAATATCCAACATCCCATTTCATTCTAAGTAGCTCGGGGAGCCCTCGAGTTCCGTAGAACGGGGTAATATGAGACAAATTTCGAGGTTTTATGTGAATTTCCCCCTTTTAATTTCAACTTGAGGTGCTGAGGTGTTCATCACTTGTTCATTGACCCTTTGGCTACACTCCCTCCAAATTTCAGATTTTTAGGTGCAGTAGGGACCTTTCAATAACCCTCGGAATGACGTCCCATATTTCCCTGCAATGTGGGGTAATATGAGACAAAAGAGAAAAATGGTAAAGAAGTATGGAAAATAAACTCATTTAGATGGGTTTGGAGCTTTTAAAGTTCTTTTCATTCATTTTAAAGATGATTGGGGACTATAATGAAGGAGAGATAAAATCTGGAGGGAAGAAAAATGGGTGTCACCAAAAAGAGCTGAAAAATGTCTAAGAAGTCATGAGTTGTACCTGTCACATGAAAATACTAAACGAAGAGCATAGATGCCGGTCAGGTAGTAAAACAAATTCGTGTTAAAATCATTATTACTTGAAATTAAGAACAGTGGAGTATGTTTGGCCTTATGTTTCGAACGAAAAGATGTGTCTCTATTTTCCCTGCAAGGTTACAAAATTGTATTCCATCTGGAACAGGCGGCCCGGGAGTAGACATAACAGAACCAAATTTTGTCCTGATTATGTTGACATGATTGTCTACAGATTAAAACCTCGTTCGGACGAGAACCAGAGTTCCAACCGAGGTTTCTGGGGAGGTTTTTACGAACTTTATAAAACTTGTCAGAATTCAGATGATTTTCGTTTGGTTCTTAATAATCCTGGCGAGTCTCTGATTGCCTTCGTGCGTTTCCCGTGATCTGCTAAGGCCTCCTAGATCACGAAAAAAAATTCCCGATGGTCTTCTGAACAACCGCTTGAGAGCAACACGACAAAAACCAAAAAAAGTGCGCTTTGTCTCTATTTTCCTTCATGTCTCATATTACCCCGTTCTACGGTTGCAAACTGCATTGTGGGGAGCAATGACCACTTTTTAGTGGAGCACCATGACCATACATATTTGAGTGTTTTCTTCTCATTTTTGGGTCTGATAATGATTTATTTTCGTCCAAAATTTGATTTATGCTTCAGAAAATGTATTAGGGCTGAATAATTGCTGCAGAATAGATAGTTTTATCACAAATCGTGAATCACCAGGATGATTAAGAATGGTTCTGAAACTGAGGCTTGAAATGGTAGTTTCTCTAGCACTAAATGAGCTCCAAACCGCAAAAGTTGGCCGCGAAGGCGATCCGTGGCAACTTTGCACCAAGATGGCTCTGGCATTATGAGAAACATCATTTAATTCACTTGTTTGCAGTGTAGTAACCGCGATAATTTTCTTAAAATTTACCAAATTGAAATCTGCATACGAATTTGGATTCGTCTTAGCAAGACAAACATAAAATGCTAACACATGTCATAGCTTTGGACGTGAAATTTGAAAGCCTTAGAGCGTTAACTGTTTTAAACCGTCCATTTTAAGGCATCTTAGAACGTTTGAAACTTTACAGGTTCTGACAGTGTTTTTTAGTTAAGTTGACTGGCCTGATGGTAAGGACAGCGATATAAACAATTTCAATGAGAATACTGGTAGAAAGTACACTTTTTTGGGCCAAAAAATTACTATGGTCATGGTGCCCCACGGGGTGGTCATGGTACCTCATAGGTGGGGCGCCATGACCACTTTCCGTTTTATTTTCCAAAGTGTTCTGTGAGCCTGCCGTGCATTGCAGACAAGTTCCAATGGATGGAAGAGGTCCTTGGAGGTCCAAAGAATCCCCTCATGCTGGAAACTTAACTTTTCGAACCACACGGTGGAGTAGAGGGAGGCACAAAAAAAAGTGGTCATGGTTCCCCACCCTCCCTTAAACCTCGCCCAAAATTGGGTATTGATCATGACTTTTTCATTCTCAGTGTATGCTTTTAGCAAATATTTTGTTTAATCTGTCTGAATCCGAGCACAGTTGTCTTTTGTGACCCAACAGTGATTAGTTCAAACAAAAGCTTTAAAAAAGAGGCCAGGTTTACCATGCGCCACCTCTATCGAGATCCGGTTTGTGCCCTGATGATCGCTTCGATCTAGCCTACCCCTCTCCCAATCGACGTTCTTATTGCTTTGGAAAAACATTTGTTAAGCGTTCTTAATTTCGTGGGATGTCTTTACTGGAACTTGTTGCAAAGTGTCCAAAGGAATCCCACACTCTCGAATAATCCACCCGAGACCCGCACCGTTGTCACCTCCCAGCACCGGTGAAGTCGCACCAACCCGCAAGCGTCTATTAAGAAATGATTCCGTGTGAATAGGGAGGGAGTCATTTTGAGTCGGAGCATCTCCCGAGGAGCCTTTACTGAAAATAAGTTGGACAAAAGTCTTGGTGACTGAAACTGATTCAAAGAGTTGTACTACCCGTTGCACTTCCCGAGGACAATGCCCTCAAGCACTGGTGATTCACAAAGGCACACCGTAAAAAGTGATTGGAATTTTACCATGAAGTGGTTTAGCGAAATTCATACACAGAATAAAAATTGTTCTTGGCAGTCCTATACCAATTCACGAGCGCAAGGGCATAAAACTTTTCCCGCCGTTTCAGGGGCGTTAATCTTTTCTGATCTTTCAGGGCATAGTTTTTATGCCTTTGTTTCAAATGTGGTCAAAAACGCATCGCTTTTTAAACTCTGATATTTGCACTGAGATTCCGAACGCTATTATTATAGCACGTATGATGCAATGCCCTGAGATATCGCACCATACTTGCAATGTCATAGCCATATTGCTCCTTTCGTGCAATGCGTCCCAAAAATGCCCTGCGCTAAATGCATGGGAATGCATTGCACTTCATGCAACGCAAAAGCATTGCACCAGTTGGCGCAATTCTCAGTGCGTACATCTCGTCCTAATTTCGGCTGAAGTCATTATTATGTGCTCCACAAATCCAATGGTCGGACTGCTTGCCACTCCAGGCTCGAGAGCCAAACAAAAAGTCTTGCTGAGTTATGGACATGGTTACACTCTAAATGTTCTACAGTTAAGATTCTCCATATTATGGTGAAAATGTTCCATATTATGGTGGTGCAGGTGACCTTGTAACATACCATTGAGAATTCACTGTACCTTAGATATTTTGACGAATTTTGTTGGTATTATGGAGAAAATCTTCACCATAATATGTTGGTGCAGCCTTTCACCGTAAGACATTTACTGTGTACACCCAAAAGTCTCGCTAAAATATGGTCGGACCAATATGTCTCACCGAGAAGGAGCAGAAATTTTTGTCTGACCACAATGGGGCGTAGCTAGAAATTTGACCCGTGTCAAGCTGATCAAAGCGGCCTGTTACAGACCAAGAGAGTCTGACAATCTTCTGGTCAGAATTTTATCTGAACAAATTATTGCGAGGCTTTCCGGTTTGACCAAAGCTTGTTGGGGCTTTTTGTCTCGTTTCAGAGCAGATTATCACTCTCATTCCAGGAACGTGACATCACGTTGAAACGAATGTGACAAAATGTCACGTTCGTTTGAGCGTTGTGTCACGTTCGTTTGAATGTGAACAAGCTAAGTTTTGACCGATTCACATCCAAACGAATGTGACTCGACGCTCATTTTGTCACGTTCGTGTCAACGTGACGTCACGTTCCTGGAATGAGAGTGTCTTTTTGTTTAATTTTCAGCGTACAGAGGACGAAGGCGTAGCGCTGGCACGCCCAGAAGGGTTGAGTGCCGGGTATGCTCTAAACACACAGTAAAAAAAGATTCGCCGATTCGGTGACGTCTGGGCGCCAAAACGAGAATATTACAAGAACAGCAACACCCTCAAACTGTTCTGGCGGCCCTCTGTTCGTTTCGGCGACGCTCGGTCTAGTTTCGGTGGCGCTCGGTCCGTTCCGGAGCGGCCACCTCACCAGAACGGCACTGCAGTCACCCTCCCGCCAGCGACTTTTAATCGTCGTATTAATGTGAAATAGGACACAAAACAAGTCAGGGGCTGTCAGTTATCATTCGCGTGACTCATCAAAGCGTAACGTTGCCGGCGGGCACGCACAAATATGCACAAACAGCTCAAAAACAGTTGTTGTGGTCATCCTAACCTCTCTGGCGGAACACCACCTGGTGACGCAGGTCACCGTTTTGGTGACAGACCGTCGCCGGGTTTGTAGGGGTACCCGTTTCGGTGAGATTGGATATAGAACGACCACCAAAACAGCGAATCTTTTTTTACTGTGCACCGAAGTCCATTAAAAAAAAATTGTTCCTTTATGGAAGTGGGTGCAGCGACCGTAAATCCCCCCGGGTGGAAGGAACTGAAGTTCTAATTATATCTGGGAATTGCAACTTAACTATTTCTTAGACTGTACGCCACATACTTTCTGTTTATAAAATAACTTAAGTTTTACTGTATTCAATAAGTGTAGCCTATTTGCAGACAAACAGCAGTCAGACTGCAGACTGACCGATGCAGTTTGACTGTAGTTCAACTGTAATTTAACTGGTGAAACTGCAGTCTAACTATAGTTAACTATAGTTGAACTGCAGTCTGTTTACAGGAAAACTGGTAGTTTTTTCGGACAGAGCAGTCTTGTCTGCAGTTTTGATCATGGTTTCATCTCGCCAGTATTACAGAAGCTTTAACTCGAGATTTATATTGAAGTTAAAATTATTTTCGAGAAGTATTTTCTGAATTTTAGTCACAAGTGTGGATTTGGAAATCACGTTCAAATTTAGTTCTGCAAGCCCCCACTGCCGACCCTGGCCCTACTCCTTCCATGTCCTTTACGTGGTTGTTTGTAGTGCTGTGCCATCTCCGCAATGAGAGTGGAACCTGGTTAAAGGTCGGGCGGGCAAGTCGGGTGGACCAGTCCATGCCACTCGACAAGACTAAAAATTGGAAGGAGCTAGTATTGACTACCATCGCCTTCATACGTTACCACTGCATGTCACCGCAGACTACCTAGTAAGGTAGGATAGTCTGAAGAACCGAGCGAATCATGCGTGGACCCAACCTAATTGTCGCCCGTAGACGCCATCGAGTGCTAACACGGAATTCCGTTTTTCTCCACTTTAGTGCAATATTCTGATTCAAATTTTTCTCTAACGTCTAAAGCAGATATTTACTGAAGTGGCAGATGGTGTAACTTGCAAAAATAACTTAATTCACTAGCCTAAATAAGAAATCCCGTTTGACAAACACTCACAGCGATCCAAGCGCCACCTAGCGGCAGGTCCTTGAAACCTGGCCTTGCAGCTCGGCGGCTGACAGTAGACCACACGGTGTGGTGGGATGAGGATTTTTCCACAGTTTGCGCACTACCCCGACGTCTAAAAATATCGCAATAATTTTTATGCTCAACGTTAAATTTTGGCTTCACCCCGCCATGCTTAATCTCAGAGAAGAAAAACCATATTGATCGACGTACTGATCCTTGCCTTCCAGTCGTGTCGGTTTTCAATAGCCCCTTTCGCTCGTCGCCGAGTGAAGAACAAAAGTACTCTAAAAGCCCGGAACCAGTAGCGCGCCACCAAGCGGCCGTTATAGCGAACTGTCAAAAGCTGAACCCTGATTGGTCCAAGCGTAGGTCCGAACGAAGTTCACTGCATCGGCCGCTAGGTGGCGCGCTAGTAGTCCCTGCACTGTGATTACTTTTGTTCTTCAATCGCTTCCTCATTCCTGACTGCATTGAAAAGGTATACTATAAGTGTAAATTGAAGCGTAATGGTGTCTAGACAATAATCATGCAGATAAAATTACAGATAAAGCGTTGATATACTTGAGTCAAAAGTAGTATTTTAACACACTTTTGAAGTATTGTTTAACTGAGCAATGGTGAGTGTAACATAGCTGTAGATCAAGCTGAAGTTTCGACACTATTTAAGAACTGAACTCTTAACTGAAAAAAAACTGCAGTCAGACTACTATTACGAGTACCACCTGAACAGTACACAAACTTGTAAATAATTACAGAGTTTTTTCACACTTTGACTGCACTGCAGTTTGTGCACTGCAGTTTTTCACTGTAGTCGGTACTCAGTTAAAACAAGACTTCCTTCCACCCGGGCCGAACCTCTACGCCAGAAATCATCCGTACTCCCTCCTTGGCCGCAGTACTTTTGTCGTTATACTGTTTTTTTTCTTTTTGTATGACTCTGCAAACACGTGTCTGAACTCATGCAGTGGGTACGTCACGTAGCGTTACATTGTTTTCGCAGAGAAGGATTAGATAGTGATATGATTTGAAATACTGTGAGGCACTGATTTCCATTCTTCGTCAAACGGCGCGACTAATTAACTTCTCAAGTGGTGCACGCGGGAGGCGATTGAACACCCAAGTGGCCTTATCTCCATCAGCTGTCACAGCCTGCTTCTGCGTTCTGTCGTGAGTAGATGCGACACGAGGCAAGGTTGGACGTCAAGCGTCGCGTGTGGCATGTAGCCTACTCTGGAGGCAAAGTAGCACTTTTTGCCTACCTTTCAGGCGGAAGAGCCCCCCCCCCCTTTCGGTCATATGGTCGGCGCATCCGAGATGCATGCTGGGAGACCGGGCGCTGGCTGGCAGGCAGATAGGCGGTCCTCTGCTGCATCCGGCGACGGATTCGGGAGGGATTAGTTGTCCGCTCCTCACCCCGCCCCCAATGTTAATTCGGATATTTGCAAATTTTTAGCAGATGATACGTTCACGTATCAGCGTGCTTGTACTCTCGTGCTGAGAGTACCGAGTTTCCGGCTAGCCAGGCAGCAGTTGCCTCGTAACCTGACTAGCAAGCCTAGAAGAGGCCGAGCGCCTCGCTGGCAAGGCAGCGCAGCGGCTGGCTGGCCTGCTTAAAAGTTTATGAGCGGAGGGCCCGCAGCGTGCCGTGCCGCACCGCACCGCGCGCCGCTCATGAATCGGGGCGCCTGCGGGGGCTCGGGTTGCGCGCGCGGCGTAAGGGAGGGTGGGGCACCTAGTGACACTTTTTGGATTTTGGCACTCACTCCGATACTGTGCGAGAAATGAATCTGCTTACACCTCAGAAGGTTGCTTTGATCCTTCCTTGATCGAAAAAACATATTCTGGCGTTTCGACAACACCTATTTCTATTATTTACATAGCTTCCCGCAGACCTCTGCACTTGTCACTTGGTGCCCCAGCCCGGGGCACCTAGTGACAGGTCATATAACTCATATTACCAGCATAGAGCGACGCTCCAGCTAATTGAAAATGATCTGTTTTAGACTCTTTAAGCTTTTTAAATATCAAACCATTCTGAACGGCGCCATTTTTTTCCAAGAAACTGCGTTTTACTACATTGCCAATCAAATTCAAATTTCTACGAAAATGTCGCACAAATTAGTCTCATTTATGTTTCGTTGTGTGACAATCGGTGACAATTTACTTCGCGGTTGCCAAATCGATGTTTTGAAACGTTTAAATCGTTGAAATACGGTAAATAGAGTGTGTCTGTCACTACCTGCCCCGGGGGCTCATTTCCGTTCAAAATTTGATTTTAAAGACATGAAATCATATATTTCAGCTGGTTCAGCGAAAGCAACTTACTAAAGGTCCTTATTATTGATTAAAAGTGCCAGAACGATCGGCAGTGCCGTGTACTGGAAGAATGGCGAGAAAACATTTTGTAAAAAAGTCGCAAAATCTGTGATTTTGGGTGATTATTTTTTTGCTTTTATTCTAGGGGCTAAAATATTTTGTTCAAAGTCTCACTTTCACTTGAACATGATTCCACAGCACAAGACCTTTAGATAAGCCACCTCAAGGTGTCTGAAAGTGCCATAGGTCGGCCAGGGCACCCCTGTGTCACTAGGTGCCCCTGTCACTAGGTGCCCCACCCTCCCTTATAACCTCGACACCCAGCTATCTAGCGCTTGCGTCACTCACTTGCGCGCTGCCGCTCCCCGTCCTCTCGTCACGAGACGCTGCTAGCACGCATCGCGCAGCTGCCCCCCGCGCCCCGCCACACCCCGCAGCAGTCCACACACACACTTGAACCTTGAGTGCGTAGAACACATAGAGCAGCGGCCCCCCGAACCCCTGCCCCTCTCGAGAAGCGGCGCGCTGGCAGTCGGCAGTGCACGCCACTCATGCTTATCTTGAGCGTCTCGGGTATCGGGAGTCGCAGGCCGCGGCCGGCCGGCCCCGCTTGGTGGCTGACACGCTGCGTCCGGCGAGGCATCCCGCCCTAGTACCGCAAACAACTTTTACGGGTGTTGAGTATTCATGTGATTAGCCACCAAATTGTGCATCCTCGCTTTGAAACAACGAAAATGATACCCAACACAAGTGGTATCCGACATATGAGTGTCCCACCGACATTGCGAACATGTTTAACACAAATCCAAAAGTTAAAATAAAATTGACATTTTCGTGAATTATTGATCCAGGAAGCGGAAGAAGGGTATAAGTCGAGTTGAATCCGTGCACTTTTGCAAGGCCTAAACCTTGCAGGTGGGAGAACGGGTGGGGAATGTCATCTATAAATAGATGCAAGAGGATGGGACTTGTCTCACCACACCTCTTTTTGGACCAAATTTTCGCTCATGTTTACTTGATAGACTGACAAGAGGTCACTGAATCAACTCGACTTAACCCCTTCTTCCGCTTCCTGGATCTATTGTGCGTAAGAAATTTGTCAAATGAAGAGTTCCGAGTGTTTACTCTTCCAAATAAATTCACAAAATGTCACATTCATCATCGACAAATTTTTCTACTAATCGTGGAGAGAAAAAACCACCACACATTTAAATAAACATTCTCATTAGTATCATCTGCTTTCACGTTAGCGTTAACGTTTTTTCTTTGGGTTTAAGCGGTACAGAAAATACGCACGGAATGCCCACAGCTAAAAAGGACGGATAGTCCAGATACACTGTTGACCAAACTCATTCCGTACTTCCTAATGGTTTGCTCCCAGTATGATGTTGCCATTGATATCTATCATTGAATCCCCACGTCTTTGTTCCAGGATGAAGTTGTTGGCATTGATGTTGGTGGGCCTGGTTGGTGTGGCTGTTGCCGAGATCAACAACCACCACCCCCTGTCCGCCGCTGCCATTCACCACATCAACTCCCAGAAGCCAACATGGACGGTCAGTTCTATCCATCCCGTTTTAGAGGGGGAAGCACACTATGTTCTCGTGCTTTGGTGGTTCTTACACCTTGCTGTTGTTTGTTGCACCTGATAGGAATATTCCTTTAACAATATAAGAGAAAGAAGTTCACAACTTTCTCGTAAATTGAGCGAGTTAAACACTTCCACCATAACGCCGAGTGATGAACAAGAGGAAGAAATGGTACCGGAACCAGTTCCCAGAACGCCTTATTTATAGGTTTTGACGGTTAAAAATCGTAAAACTCGTCTTTGACTAAATTTTAACAATTTTTAGAACCCAAATGAACGCATAATACAAATGAGCGCCTTTTGTGGACTGTTTCCGGCTTTCGTAATTCTTCTTGCTCTTCACTTGGAGCTCTGGTGGAAGTGTCTATTAAACGATATCACTATGTCCCTAATGCCACCTTCAGTTTTCAACGTTTATCTCTTTGTTGCATCCGTCACTAGCTTCACTATTAAACAAAAAGAACGGGTCGAAAAATTACTTCATTTTCAGGTTCGTCGTTGAAACAGTTCCTTTGCAAAGCTATTTCGGGAACAGTTTTGTGCCCTATCAGATACAGCAAACCGATAACGAAAAATGCATATACTTTGGGCAGAACCGTGCACACAGTGAAATCATGTCACGGAGAACCGTCTTGCATGCGTCACATCATAGTCCCTCTCAGTCAGTTGCGGAGAAAAGTTAGTGGTTTTCCTGTCTTGTTTTTTCCAAAATATTGTAAGAAATCTATTATTTGAAATAACACTTCTTCTCCAAGCTCAGTATGGAAATTTGAATGAAATCTCCAACACAACGTCAAGTCGTTAATGCACGAAAACATAGTGATACTGCCCCCATTAGGTTAGAACCTGGATGGAACCGATTGGCATTTACCAAATGTCGGAGGCGCCAACCGCAGATCGTTGTGTTATTCGATGCTTCAAATCTCTCACTGGTAAAATTAAGGCGTAACTCTACGCTTGAGTCAAGCATAAAGTTAAGCATGAAGACGTTACGCTTGAAATGAAGCACACTCTCAATATTGCCCCATGCATTTAGTCGGGCGGAATCTTGGCGGAAGAGCCTGATACGCTCTATTTCAAGCGTAAACTGCTTACACTTGAAAACAGAGGGTAATACTACGCTTTAGTTTTACCAGTGCTTACAAATACTTAAAAAGAGGTGAGTCTGTCGTTGCTCATCCCTTGCGCTTTTCAGGCTGGCCACAACTTCCCCACCGACACGAAGATGGAGAACGTGCGCCGGCTGATGGGCGCGAGGCGCGACCCCCTCCGCGTCCGCCTTCCCCTCAGGGAGGACGTCGAGGTCGATGAGGTGGAGTGGTGGCCCTGGAGCCTCCCCAAGCACTTCGACGCCCGCAAGGAGTGGCCGAAATGCCCCACCATCGGCGAGATCCGTGACCAGGGCTCCTGCGGATCCTGCTGGGTAAGCACTAAAGGGTTGGAAAATTAATTGAAGTAATTAGAATATTGTATACACTGTCAGAAATTTTGTCGTAAATTAGCGACAAAAAAGTCGCTAATTTTGATAGCGACGGAAGTCGTTTTTAAACTACTCCGTAGTAACTGAACGACTTAAAAGTCATTTAAATGACTCTCTACGAGAATGTCGTAATCGCGATTACATATTTTAAAATCTAAAATTCCCAAAAAGTTGGTAAAAAGTTACAATTTTGCTCGCTTATTTACGAATTATGTCGTTCATTTACGATTCATAACACAAATGTACGACAAGAGTCGTAAATATACGACTTAAGTCATAACTGCACGACATATTCCATAAACAAATTACGATCGTTCGTAAACTTACGATTGAGTCGTAAATTTACGACTTGATTCGTTTTAAAACGGAACGTCTCGCTATTAAAATTAGCGACAAATATGTTGTATATTTACGACTTGGGTCGTAACAAAAAATATCGTTTGAAAACAACATAATTGTTTTACAAAATGTCGTAAATTTACGAGAGAATCCGCACGATGAGTATGGCGTCGATTTGTGCAATGCTTTTGCAGTGCTCATGAAGTGCAATAATTTTCTAGAGTGATCACCATTGCACCATCATACGTGCTATATTCATAGCGTTTGAAATGTCAGTGTTGAGGTAAGTTGGGGAAGAAAGGTACAGGGTAAGGAAAGAACCCCCATGTGGAACTGATACTTGGACTTGGAGCCATACTTTGCTGATTTTTTTCCACTAACTTTGTGCAAAATCCCTGCCCTGTTGAGATATCAGATCTTCGCAGTGCACAGCGAAATCAGATGCAGGTTTTCCCAAGGGCTCAGAAATCGCGAATGGCTTAACTTGTGCTACCTGGATCCAAGATCAACAAGCTCATCTGACACCGAACGACACACGTTTTATTGATTTGCATGTTTGTTGTTCCCACGCAGGCACATGGCGCTGTCGAGGCCATGTCCGACCGTATTTGCATCGCATCCAAGGGCAAGAAGAACGTGCACGTCTCCGTCGAGGATTTGCTCACCTGCTGCTCTGCGTGCGGCGACGGCTGCAACGGTGGTTACCTGGAACCCGCCTGGAACTACTGGGTGGAAACCGGCCTCGTTTCCGGCGGAAACTACAACTCCAACGAGGTAAGTTAAGATTGTTAAGGCCAATGCAACGCTTAATTGCACAATTCCAGATCGGGGTCGGGCAAGGAAAGAAAGGCACAGGCCCGGGGATAACATTGATAGAAGAGCCCTACACACTTAACTTCTTACGGATACATCCTATCTGTATTACGGACATTTTTGTGCAATTGCAATTACGGATAGATTTTGCTTGTAAAACGGATGAAATCATCCGTATTTGAAAGAGTTTTACGTCCGTACCATAAGGGAGGGTGGGGCACCTAGTGACAGGGGTGCCCTGGCCACCCTATGGCTCTTTCAGACACCTTGAGGTGGCTTATCTAAAGGTCTTGTGCTATGGAATCATGTTCAAGTGAAAGTGAGACTTTGAACAAAATATTTTAGCCCCTAGAATAAAAGCAAAAAAAACATTACCCAAAATCACAGATTTTACGACTTTTTAACAAAATGTTTTCTCGCTATTCTTCCAGTACACGGCACTGCCGATCGTTCTGGCACTTTTAATCAATAATAAGGACCCTTAGGAAGTTGTTTTCGCTGAACCAGCTCAAACACATGATTTCATTTCTTTAATATCAAATTTTGAACGGAAATGAGCCCCCGGGGCAGGTAGTGACAGACACACTCTATTTACCGTATTTCAACGATTTAAACGTTTTAAAACATCGATTTGGCAACCGCGAAGTAAATTGTCACCGATTGTCACTCAACGAAACATAAATAAGACTAATTTGTACGACAATTTCGTAGAACATTGAATTTGATTGGCAATGTAGTAAAATGCAGTTTCTTGGGAAAAAATGGCGCCGTTCAGAATGGTTTGATATTTAAAAAGCTTAAAGAGTCTAAAACAGATAATTTTCAATTAGCTGGAGCGTCGCTCTATGCTGATAATGTGAGTTATATGACCTGTCACTAGGTGCCCCGGGCTGGGGCACCAAGTGACAAGTGCAGAGGTCTGCGGGAAGCTATGTAAATAATAGAAATAGGTGTTGTCAAAACGCCACACTATGTTTTTGCGATCAAGGAAGGATCAAAGCAACCTTCTGAGGTGTAAGCAGATTCATTTCTCGCATAGTATTGGAGTGAGTGCCAAAATCCAAAAAGTGTCACTAGGTGCCCCACCCTCCCTTACGGATATTTTCGTCTGTATGTTACGGACACGAAAACCTTTGTATTACGGATAAAATCATCCGTATTACAACCAAAATCCATCCGTAATTACGCTTGCACAAAACCGTCCGTATTGCGGATACATGGTGTCCGTAAGGAGTCTTGAGTGTAGGAATGATTGAGACTGCCAGGGGTATATCGACCCCTTCTAGGGAAACTATCCCATCTAGCTAGGGCGCTGGGAGACTTGCTTAGCCCCCTATACAATTGAGAATGGATACAACTTTTCTCATGACTTGCGAGGAGTCCAGACGAGTTGATTTTGTTCATCATCAGAATACTTTCTACACTGCTAATCCAAGTGTGGACCAGGTCTACGCCTCAAGGCGTGGGCCATTTTGGTCCACGCTTTGAAACGTGGACCACTGTTTGGTCCACGCTTGGCAAGCATAGAATTCCATGCTTGAAAGCGTGGATCAAGAGGTGGTCCACGCTTCAAAGCGTAGACCAACCAGTGGCCCACGTTTCAAAGCGTGGACCAAGCGATGGTCCACGTTTCAATCGTGGACCAAAAAAGTCCACGCCTTGAAGCGTGGACCTGGTCCACACTTTAGCAGCGTTAGTTTGTTTTGGCGAAGCAAGGACGGGGGAATTAACGCGGCTGGATTAAATAGCATCTTCTCTCCCATTGGCTTCGAGCGTTTAAGCTTCAAGTGTCGTTGTTCGGTGAAAAGAAGCCCAGTACTTCGCTCCCGCAGCAGGTGGAAACCCTGTAGCCGAAATAGAGATGCAGATGCTTTTTGCTCATCTCAGGACCCTGGAGTGATAGGTAAAATCCATGGGCACATTTGGAGTCCTCATATATTTGACTGGGTGTAGGCTTTGTTTCGAGCGCGAATTGGGATTGGGGGGGGGGGGGGGGCAGCAGCAGATGGACCCGAGCAGCAGCAGATGGGCAATTGACACCCCCCCCCCCCCACACACACACACCTAGATAGCCGCCTAAAAGGTAGGCGAAAAATACACTTTAAACCTGTCAATAGGCAAAAATTGATACGTTGCGCCTTTGGGCCGAATCTGGATCCGCCTCGGCCGTCGATTTATGATCATTTTGCCGCAAGAAAGTAAACAACAGGTTAAAAATAAACGCATCGGGGCGCGCACCCTTATCGTAGCAACATAGTTTCCACCCGATGTAACCTGTTTTTGGAGCGAACAAGCAAGTAACGCGGCTGTCGCAGGGCTGCCGCCCTTACTCCATCGCTGCCTGCGAGCACCACGTCAACGGCTCCCGCCCGGCCTGCGGTGGCGAGGAGGGCGACACCCCCGCCTGCACCAAGCAGTGCGAGGCCTCTTACAACAAGGACTACAACAGCGACCGCGTCTTCGGTGAGCAAACCACGCAAATCTCTTGCATACTCTGCAAACTCAAGTGAGAACATCGTACACGCTTATAAGAGCATGCTTCCAAGCGGACTCTTATTTACAGCATTTGCTATAGGCACGCGCTAAAATAAAGTTTGCCTGACAAGCCAAATAAGAGTGTATACCTGGACCTGGAAGTACACCTTAACTGGCCCATACTTTTAGACAGGACCAAACGCACTGTTAGGGATTTTGTTGTAAAATAACGAGTAATTCCCTGTTAATTCTATAGGACAAATTGTTCGTAATTTAATGAGTACAGTCGTTATAATTCAAATCTTCAACCATATCATTTTCAGGTTGGTCTCGGTTTGCCTCGACGAAAAAACGTGAAAATAGAACTAATCATGTACCTTGAAAATTTTACGACTTTCTTTGTAAATTTACGATTTTTCCTGGTTAAATTACGATTTTTCTTTGTAATTTAACAAACTTTTGTAATTTTACGAACAATTTGTCCTATAGAATTAACAGGGAATTACTCGTTAATTTACAATTAAACTTGTTAAATTACGATAATGCTTGTAATATGACAACTTTCGTTCGTGTAATGACGACATTCTTCGTAAAACTACAGCTTAAGTTCGTAATTTTACAAGATTGACCGTAAAAATCTGTGTAAAATTGTGAAATTTTTCTTTGTATTTGGCCAAGAACGAATACTTTCGTAAAATAACGATTTTATGTTGTAAAATTACGATGGTATTCATGTAAAATAAAGTTGTAAAAATACGACTTCCCCTTACAGTGCGAGAAAGGAGTGTATTTTAGCGTGTACATACCCAGCACTCTCTATTTTAGCGTGTGCCGTAAAAAGGGTGTGCTCCGAAGCATATGCTCTAATAAGAGTATGCTATGTACAGTACACACTTAAGTTTGTAGAGTACGTCCCGGCTTGAAAGAATACCATTTCAGTGGATACCTAAAAATGCATTTGAGAAGTATAACCTATTCACTGTACAAAAGATGTCCTGTCAATGCCGTTAATTTATTACCAATGTTTGCTGTTATGCAATTCACGGCGTTTGCTGTGAACTAGTTCACGGCGTTCACTGTGATCTCGGTCACAGTGTTCACTGTGATCTGGCCGCAGTAAACGCCGTAATTGGAGCCTGATTTGCAGTACTTCGGTGCTCAGCGGCGTCAAACTCACAGTGTTTACTGTGGACCAGATCACAGTGAACACCGCGAACGAGATCACAGTGAATCGCGTGAGCAGATCACAGTAAACGCTTTACAGTGAAAACTAGTAATAAATTAACGGCATTGACAGGACATTTTTTTAACAGTGTGATGTTCTGCGAATGAAAAACAATCGATTCTATTCTGCCAGTGTGTTTCTATTGTGAATTAGGCTATGTAAACCAATTAAATCCGCAGCCAAGTCAGCCTACTCCGTGAGTAACGACGAGAAGGCCATCATGAAGGAGATCAAGAAGCACGGACCCGTGGAGGCTGCCTTCGACGTTTACGAAGACTTCCTTAACTACAAGTCTGGTGCGTATCTTCGACGTCACATTTACCGGTGCCACACTGTTAAAAATAATCGTAGTTTTACGACATATTTACAACTTCGTCGTTACTTTACGATGTTAATGGTTCAGCAACGCGAATTCGTTACCATTCAATAAAAAGTCCTTGGTTTGCGACTATTGTCTTAAATTTATGTTACCATTCAATAGAAAGTCGTAAGTTTACGAGTACTGTCTTAAATTTACGATGTCAGTCGTTTACGACAAATGCCTGTAATCTTGACCTGTCGTAATTTTTTTGACACATTTCTTTTCATTTACGGAAGAAATTGTAACGGTATTGTCGTACAAAACCGACTCAGAGATCAATCATTTACGACTAAATCGTTTCAGGATGACTGGGAAATCACTGTGAATTTCGGTGTACAAATCTTATGAATTTCAGTCGAATTTCAATGAATTTCAGCCAAATCTCGATGAATTTCAGTCGAATTTTGTTAAGTTGTATTATTTCCTCTTGTGTGTCGCTTTCAAAATCACGCTGTCGTTAATTTACGACATTATTTTTAAGAGTGCAGCAGCGGTTTTTACATGATACCCTATTATAATTTTATTTGATCGTTATATTTTATTATTATTATATTTGATTATTTGCCTTGTGCCTTGCAGGCGTGTACAACTACGTCGCTGGCGATTACGCGGGCGGCCACGCCGTGCGCATCCTCGGCTGGGGCGAGGACAACGGCGTCAAGTACTGGCTCATCGCCAACTCGTGGAACACCGACTGGGGCGAAAACGGCTTCTTCAGGTACATCCGCGGTACCAACTTGGGCGGCATGGAGGACGACGTCGTCGCTGGTCTGCCGAAGCTGTAAACAGCGCCTACTTCCAATAATAAAGGGAGCTGAGTGATGGAGAGCCGAGTTTTATTCCTTCTCCTTGGAAGCCGGGGACGAAATTGAAACCTTCAAAGAGTCTGGACACAAAACTACAGAAAAGCCTTTTTATCTAATGAGATGAGTAAATGATCAACTGTTGTCAAATGAAATTATTTTTCAGAGAGTGTTGTTATGGTTTGAGTTCGAGGTTTCTGCTAGTCCAGTTCTGCGGGGGGGGGGCACCGTCCCGCTTTTCAGTTATTGACACCACAGCTCGGAACTGCAAATAAGAAAACGGGAGCCCATGAATGGCCCCATAAACGGAGTCTCCAAGAACGTGATTTAAGAGTTTTTCTCATTAAAATTTCGGAGCTAATTTCTAATAGTGTAGTTTTTATTTGAAAAAACCTCATAACCGTCCGTCGCTAGAGTTAAGAAGCTTTTGGACATTTGAACGCTGAATATCACTGTATCGGTGATCGTTAGCATCACCTGTAAAGAGAAACATATGCGATAATTAGGGGCCGTACCCATATTACGTGACCGATTTAGGGGGGGAGGGGGTTTGGCCAAATCCTACGGACGGTCACGAGGGGGGAGGGGGGGTTAATTCAAAAGTCACGTAGTCACGAATTAGGAAATTATGATAGCAAAACACACGAGGTAGCGGCGCGGTCAGGCAACAGATATCTGTTCCTGCTGCATCCAAGCGGACAGAAACCAAGTTTCCCGAAATATGACAAGTTTCAGCGGTCGTTTTATGAATTCAAAGTGGCCATTTGATGTAAAATTGCTTAAATTTTACTTCCTCTGACCTTCAGGGTTCCAAAAAAAGACCCCTTCTGTGAGCTAATAGACTATTCTAGTCGTCGACTGTCGACTGAAGAACAAGAAGAACAAAACCGAAAATGAAGTGGATTACGAGCAGGTAGCGAGCCCAGTTTAAGGGAGAAATGTTGAGAAATATGTTTCTTTCCTTTACCAATAAGTATTAGAAACAGGCCTTATAGCATATCAACGCGAGAGGATTCGGGAACCTCTAAAATTATTGCACTCGAACGGGTGGACGGCGCCATTTCCGGTTTTGTGCGGCTTCTTGTTCTTCACTCACCAACGACTGGAATGGCCTATTTGTTTCATCGATGATCTTTGTCTTTCTTCACATCAGGAAACAGCAAATTAGACGAAAAACAGCTTTTGAGAAAATCCTACGTGACATCGGTGGGGGGGAGGGGGGGTTTGCGAAGATCCTACGGGGTGTCACGATGGGGGGGGAGGGGGTCCAAAAGTGGCCTAAAACCGGTCACGTAATATGGGTACGGCCCCTTACCAGGGAATCAACTAAGGGAGGGTGGGGAACCATGACCACTGGGGCACCATGACCACCCCCCTCGCTCTCGGGAACTACCGGTCGACCGGGCTTTCGAGAGAATCGTATTCTTACTATTTTCAGCCAGAGCCCTACCTTCTAGCTTCAAGGGTGCAACCATGGCACCTCGCCAAAATTTTCGTTACAGTGTTTTGGCTAAATTGGGCATATTTGAAATTTGGGATATTTTTTCTCACTGTCACATTTGAGGAGATAGGTTCGATGTCTTAAGTTTTTCTCAAAGTTTCGGCTCTCCGGCAAAATATCCAACATCACATTCAATTCTAAGTAGCTTTTTGCTTGCTCGGGGAGCCCTAGAGTTGTAAACTGCATTGTGGGGAGCCATGACCACTTTTTAGTGGGGCACCATGACCATACATATTTGAGTGTTTTTTCTCATTTTTGGGTCTGATAATGATTTATTTTCGTCAAAAATTTGCTTTTTGCTTCAGAAAATGTATAAGGATTGAATAATTGCTGCAGAATAGGTAGTTTTATCACAAATCGTGAATCACCAGGATGATAGAGTGGTTCTGAAACTGAGACTTGAGATGGTAGTTTCTCTACTAAATAGAGCTCCAAACCGCAAAAGTTGGCCGCGAAGGCGATCCGTGGCTACTTTGCACCGAGACGGTTCTGGCATCATGAGAAACAGCATTTATTTTACTTGTTTGCAGTGTAGTAACCGCGATAATTTTCATAAAAATTTACCAAATTGAAATCTGCATACGAATTTGGATTCGTCTTAGCAACACAAACATAAAATGTTAACACATGTCATAGCTTTGGATGTGAAATTTGAAAGCCTTAGAGCATTAATTGTTTTAACCCGTCCATTTTAAGGCATCTTAGAACGTTTGAAACTTCGAAGGTTTTTAGAGTGTTTTTTAGTGAAGTTGACTGGCCTGATGGTAAGAACAGCGATATAAACAATTTCAATGAGAATACTGGTAGAAAGTACACGTTTTGGGCCAAAAAATTACTATGGTCATGGTGCTCCACGGGGTGGTCATGGTGCCCCATAGGTGGGGCGCCATGACCACTTTGCGTTTTATTTTCCAAAGTGTTCTGTGAGCCTGCCGTGCATTGCAGACAAGTTCCAATGGGTGGAAGAGGTCCTTGGAGGTCCAAAGAATCCCCATGCTGGAAACTTAACTTTTCGAACCACACGGCGGAGTAGAGGGTGGCCCCAAAAAAAAGTGGTCATGGTTCCCCACCCTCCCTTAGACAATCGAAAAAGCTGGAGAAGACTGTGACTCTATTCGATACTCCCCTGCAACAAGGAGCTATCTACGCTCACTGTCTCGATAACCGACTATCTACGCGCCCTCTCCCGACAACCGGCTATGTACACGGGCTGTCTGGATAACCGACTATCCAACATCGGAGCGAGGTTAGGGTCGTCGTATAACGAAGTAAGGGAGGGTGGGGCACCTAGTGACACTTTTTGGATTTTGGCACTCACTCCGATACTGTGCGAGAAATGAATCTGCTTTCACCTCAGAAGGTTGCTTTGATCCTTCCTTGATCGCAAAAACATGTTGTGGCGTTTCGACAACACCTATTTCTATTATTTACATAGCTTCCCGCAGACCTCTGCACTTGTCACTTGGTGCCCCAGCCTGGGGCACCTAGTGACAGGTCATATAACTCACATTACCAGCGTAGAGCGACGCTCCAGCTAATTGAAAATTATCTGTTTTAGACTCTTTAAGCTTTTTAAATATCAAACCATTCTGAACGGCGCCATTTTTTCCCAAGAAACTGCATTTTACCACATTGCCAATCAAATTCAATGTTCAACGAAATTGTCGTACAAAGTAGTCTCATTTATGTTTCGTTGTGTGACAATCGGTGACAGTTTACCTCGCGGTTGCCAAATCGATGTTTTGAAACGTTTAAATCGTTGAAATACGGTAAATAGAGTGTGTCTGTCACTACCTGCCCCGGGGGCTCATTTCCGTTCAAAATTTGATATTAAAGAAATGAAATCATATGTTTGAGCTGGTTCAGCGAAAACAACTCACTAGAGGTCCTTATTATTGATTAAAACTGCCAGAACGATCGGCAGTGCCGTGTACTGGAAGAATGGCGAGAAAACATTTTGTAAAAAAAGTCGTAAAATCTGTGATTTTGGGTAATGATTTTTTGCTTTTATTCTAGGGGCTAAAATATTTTGTTCAAAGTCTCACTTTCACTTGAACATGATTCCACAGCACAAGACCTTTAGATAAGCCCTGTGTCACTAGGTGCCCCTGTCACTAGGTGCCCCACCCTCCCTTATTTTTCTCCATGACACTTACAGCGACCCGTTTAAACCATACTTAATCTTGCTTTGACAAACTTTTGACAAGTTTTGGTAAAGGTTTTGCGAGGGCAACTTAATTGGTTGGATAAATAAAAGCATACAATCTCGCGAGGTGGAGAAAGCAGATAGTCGGTTATCCAGACAGCCCATGTAGATAGCCGGTTGTCGGGAGAGCGTGCGTAGATAGTCGGTTGTCGAAACATTGAGCGTAGATAGCTGCTTGTTGCAGGGGGGGTATCGAATGTATTATATCTGCAGAAACGAAAACCTTCCCTAGAAATTCACCATTAACTACAAAGGTTTACTTTAAAAATTGTTTACACGCAATATAAAATGGTTTCTTTCTTTTTTTTGAATATGACTCGAAAGCAACATAATGTTTGTTTTTGTAGGGAGTTCCAGAAGTGCTTTCCGACTTAAGTTGTCCTTTGATATTTACGTTGCTCAAAGAGCGGAAGTGGAGACCTGGTCGGCGGTGGGCATGAATGATGCGGAAAGAAGTTGGACTTACCGTGATCAATATGCCACTGTTCAAATTCATCAAGCCACCCAAAGACATTCCGGTGGGACGCTGAACGATTTGTGCGGCGAAGAGCTCCAACTGTGACAAACAAGAACTCACACTTGTGTGGCCTACCTTTTTTCAAAGTGTTGAAAATTGGAGAGCGCCGTCCGTAATTTGAAACACTGAGATTCCAAACGATATGAATATAGGTCGCATGGTGCAATGCACTGAGATATCGCACCATAATGCACTTGCAATATCACCCAATGGACATAGACATATTGCACCTTACGTGCAGTGCAATGCGCCCCGAAATGATCCAGGAAGCGGAAGAAGGGAATTATTCGACCTATCTCCAAATTGAAATTTTATCTGATAATTGTGCCTCAGGGTGGTTTGCATCATTACACAAAATTGTTTGACCCAATTCCTAACAGTTTAAAAGAAAATCCACATGAAAAATTGATATAACTCAACTCGACCCCTTTTACGGACTAAATTTCATCGTAAAATGGAGGTAACTCAACCGAAGTCAACATAACTCCATTGCACAAAATGACAAAAGGAGAAAACTTGTGTCTTTATGAATCTCGTGTAAAAAGAATAAACCTAACTTGTTGGAAAAAAGAGGTAACTCCAAAAATGTACCACAGAAATATTGAATTGTCTCCAAATTCCGCCTTGTTTGGGAGAACTGAGTAAACATGGATCCGTAGTCCATTCCAACGTTAAGATTTAAATCACAGAAACCGTCTACAGAGTGATGATACACTTTTGAAAATTTTCAGAGTTATTTCTTACGCTTTCTTGATAAAAATGAAATTGCATCATTCATCTGATTATATTGTTGGGTTCCTG